AATATGGGTAGCGTACATTAAGTAAGAAAAATTGTGTAGAATATTCCTTAGCAGGCTTTTACTTCATTGTCCTAAACCCTAACCCTAATCTGAGAACAAGACTTATAAAATTCTTTTCACAATATGTATTTGTCTTTTCCCTCTTCTACTCCTACTAACTACACTGATTAGTATTTATCTTGATTTTTTTTCTCCATTTTATTTTTATCATTTAAACACAAGGGACATTTTTTGTTGTAGAAAATAATGCATACTTGTCATTTGTCTGTATTCTCACCTACTTTTTGCCAGCAGTGATCAACCTATATTCAGACTAGTTTAGATAGTTTAGTGTTTGGTAAATACATTATGTTTACATGAGGAACATGTATTCTGGGGTAGGAAATTGTGCAATGTACTTTGCATACCCATTTCCACCCATGCAGACCTCCCAAATTAAATTACAGAAGAAAAATGGAAAAGAATATTTTTTATTTTTATCATAACTTTCTGGACAATATTCTAGATTAAAAAAACACCAAGTGAATAAAATGACACTTTTTGAACTATAAGGAACAGTTTTTTCTTTGGTGGAAGTTGCTTGCTGTGTTGGCTAGGAACCATAGTCATCTGCATATGTGATGATCTTTAGGGGTTAAAATAGCAGTAACTGACATTTATTCTATATGGTGAATGTCAGTAGCACATACAATCACATACCAAGGAGTTATTATTATTATTAATGCTGTTAACATCTTGCCTAGGTCGAAATCGTGCCCACAATGTCGCCACAAAGCTACAGAGAAGAGTTTGGTAAAGCTGTTTTTTGATTCAGGAGGAGCAGATACATCACATGTTGACCCTGACACATTGCAGCACCAGATTGACAGCCTTAAGGTATAATGCATTTTTCATTATTTATCTCATGTTTTATGTTGTAAAAGTCTTACCATCCTGTCATTATATTGTGATGATTATATGTCTGTAATATTTACTTACATAACTTTAATTATTATTTCTGATAGTGCACTTATGAGTTCATCATATAGTTTTTAGTTATCTTTTTTAGACTATAGTAGTTGCTCTTTCTCTACTCTCCTCTCAACTAATGCTCCTTGTAAAAGAATTTTTAGAACCTATTTTTTTTTTTTCCAGTTTCAAATTCGCTTAAAGGAGCAAGAAATGAAAAACTTTAAGGATGAATCACGAACTTTGACCAAGCAGAATAAAGGCCTCAGGTAAGGATGCTTCATGGAGTAATATATATAAAGAAAATTTACTGATTGTCCTAGTTTTTCAGTTATTGGTTCTTGCACTAAAAGTTTTTATTTACTTGCATTTATTGTTCTTTATTCTGAGTCTGTTTAATCAATAAACAATAAGACTGTGGCTTTTATGTACTGTTCACTGTATTTTTTTGTAAAACAAGTGCTCAGCCACCAAAGGAGTAAATTGATAGGCCAAGTGACCAAGACTGATTTCCCCATTTTGTGAAATTGTAGGATTTTCTATTTTTTTATTTATTTGCATGCTATTAATTAGTATTAATAGCATAAAAGCTTTCCAAAAAATCAAGTAATAGGGTAAACAGGTAAGATATATTGTAGATAGTCATCTCTGTATTAAACAATAAATGAACTAAGATTAAAGTGGACACAGTATATATATCATGTATAGTTGTTAAATTGTTAAGGTTGAATGGGGCCTAGAGCAATGAGCACCTCTTCCTTTGTGTGAGTGTAATTTTAGCAGAATAATATATTGTATAGAATGGAACACAAAGTTATTTCAGGTATTTAAATCTGTTTACACCTTTGTTTTCATGAGTTAAAATCTATTTTTGAACATATATTGATAGTATGCAACTTGAAGTATAAGAATAATTATGTCATGAATAAGAAAAAAATATAATCATATGTTAAAGCATTTGAAAATGAATTAGTAGAATCAGATCCTTTAGATATTTTCCATGAAATTTCATCATTGACTGAATTTGCAGAGAAGAGTGCAAAACCATCACCAGCCAGCTTCATGCCAAAGACACTACAATTATGGCTTTGAAGTCACAGCTTCAGTTCATGGACCGCATCACAAAGGAAGCCCAGAAGGCAAAAGAGGAGGCCAAAAAACTGAGAGAACAGCTCAAAGTGCTTCAAAAGTATGGGAAAAGACATTTTTGTTGCTTTTTAAATCTGAAATAGGATTTTATTGCTTCAAATCTTAGAGATCAGTATTGTTATTTAGACCATTTTTTTATATCATGTAAATTGCTTAACTCATTTATACCAAGAATACATGTATACATGTACTCTTAGGGGATGCTTAGCCACCAAAGTCTCAGATACTGTGATGCTTAGCCACCAAAGATTCAGATACCAGGCCTATTGGATCTCATATATTAGTCCAATTCCTTGAATTTTCATTTAAAAAGTAATTATTTTTATAACAATTATTATTGTAAATGAAGTTTGAACGACAATGGTAATAATAGTAATGAAAGTAGAAACTTTTTTCCCCAAAA